TGTGAGTGAGTGGTCGCCACACAGCATTGTACCCAGAGTCTGTCCCCAGACATTGCACCTGGCGCTGTTAGGCTGAAATTAAAGTGGTTTTCTTTTTCTTTCTTTCTTTCTTTTTTTTTCCTTTTTGTTTGTTTGGTTTTTCACAACCATCGTCTATTTTCTTTTTAATCTCAAGGTTGTGGGGCCAGTAGGCTTTGCAAGACTCACTGTAACAGGGACACTGTCCAAACTTAGTGTGGTGTCTGGCTGTGGCTCCTGTCTCAGGGAGTGGGGACCCAGGGCACCCCCGGTGGGGAGGTTTTTTCCCCAGCAGGTCCCCAGCTGACAACGAGTGTGGCAGCTGGGGAGGGGCTTCTGCACATGACAGCTGTCTGGGTGCCGGTTCCTCTGGGCCTCGTGGCAGGATCAGATCGCCAGGGTGGCAGTCTGTGTTAGACACCAGAGCTGCAGCTCGCAGCCCCTTCCTGAGCACCTGTGCAGGTGGAATTTGGAAGGCTGCTCACTGTTGCCTCCCAGACTCCCCAACCTGACCTGGTTAGCGAGGCCGCCTCAGGCACAGCTGGTCCGCCCTGGTGGTTGGCTGGAGGCTCCTGGCCAAATAGCAGGGCTGCCATGGTGTCCACGGCTGCAGCTTTAGATACCGGGGAAGGTTCACCGGGAGGGAGACTCGGCAGTCTATTGCCTGACCTGGGAGCTTAGGCAGAGAAGAGAAGAGAGAGGTGGGGGTTTTCTGTTCTCTGTTTCTCTCCCACACTCCTGTAGCAGCCGGGCTGGGTCGGAGCCAGGACTCTGAAACTCCATCCAGGTCTTCCCTATAAATGGCTTGCGCAGTTGGGTTGTCTCCTGCTGATTTCTCAGGGAACTGCATCAGAAGTTGAACAGCTGGGACTCGAACCAGCACTCAGATGGGATGGTAGCTTAACCCACTGCTGTACACACTGACCCCTTTGATCTGGAACTGTCAAATATTTGCTTATTTATTTTACCTAATTTGGAAGGAAGAATTGGATCTTTCATCCTCTGGTTCATTCCCCATATAGTCACAACAGCTGGAACTGGGCCAGTCCAACGCCTAGAGCCTGGAATCCCATCTAGTCTGCTGTATGGGTGCAGGAGCCCAAGCACTTGAGCCATCTTCCACAGCTTTCCTAGGCATGTGGGCAGGGGGCTAGACTGAAAGCGGAGCAGCAGTTCTCTAACTGGCACCCATTTGGAATGCCAGCACCACAGGCACAGTGCTGGCCCCTGTCCTGGCAACATTTAAATTGTTTGAAAGTCTGGGACCAAGGAGGTTATGCTGCCTCCTGAGATTCTTGTGTACCAATGGGAGTGCTAGTTCACTGCCCCACCCCCACTCTGCTTCCTGTCCAGTTCCCTGGGCTTGTACCCAGCAAGGCACTGGAAGATGGCCCAAGTACTTGGTCCCACTGTCACCTATGTAGGAGAGCCAAATAGAGTTCCTAGTTCCTGGCTTCAGCCAGCAGAACCAGCAGATGGAACCTGTCTCCCTGTCCCCTGCTCTGCCTTTCAAATAGTAAATACATTTTTTGAAGAAAGTGAGGTCATTTGGCAGAAGAAATTGGCCATGAAACTAGACATTGGATCCTTTGTGGATACGCACCCCTGGCCCGGTGCGGGGTCGAGGCCTATCCCCCTACGTTGAGAAGGAACATCTGATGGTGACTTCTGCCGCTCCCTGTCTTCCCCTCAGTGCACCGTGTGCTGTGAGGGCTTGGAGGAAGGTAGGATGGTGGCCTGGGGGCTTCTGCAGGCAGCTGGTGTCCACCCTGCTGGGCCAAAAGGAAGTGTCCCTCTGCCAAGGGGCCTGAGGCTGTGGAGACTTCTTAGGCCCAGGCTGGTGAACCTTCCCCTGGCCCCCAGGCCTATGTTCCTGCAGCCTTGGAAATCAGCAGGTACTGCTCAGGCCCAGGGCAAAGGCAAAGGCTCTGGGAGAACAGCCCTGGCCCGCAGCTGTGTGCGAAGAGAGGCAAGAGGTGACTGCGGAGAGGACACCACTTCCGCCTCTGACCTTAGGCCGCCATCTGGACCCAGGGCCCTGGTCGCGTCCCCAGCAGTAGGAAGGATGAACACGGGAGGGCAGCATCGCAGAGGGTACCAAGTGAGGCTCCAGGGTTGTGTCCCAGGAGACCCAGCGCAGCCAGCCCTGGAAGAAGTGCTGGGGTCCTGGGGTGGCAGTGGGCTGTGAAGGCTGGAACGGAAACCAGGGTGCCACTGTCTTGGGCTCAGTATACACATCCTTCGGGGAGGCTGTGGCCACCTTGGTCCTGTGTGGAGCTTGGGTATGGGCAGGTGCTCCTAGTGGGCTAAACAGTGACCTCCTCTCCCCTCATTCAAATGAATGCCAGAAACCCTCCCACCAAGACGCCTAAATCCAGGCAGTCCCAAGTGCCATGATGGCAATAGACCTCTTCCACCAGTTGTGGCGACACCAGCAAAGATGGCGTGGGCTTCCCCTGTTTCACACAGGTAGATGGATCTCTGAAGGATGGTCCTGCCAACGGCTCTCTGGCACAGCAGGTTGTCAGCATCACCGAGCTTGTGTGCGGGGCCAAGGTTATGAAGGAGAGTCACCAGCGTCATACCAGATGGGCCATCTCCGTGACTCGCCGGTGGGCAGTGGATAGGGAAGGTAGCTTGGATATGCCACACTGCGAGAGGAGGCCTTGGCAGGGCAGCACAGAGGTTTCACACTGCTGTGTAAAGTATATGAAATATTCACTTCTGGGATTTTTCATTTAATATTCTCAAGTGGTAGGGGCTGGGGTAAGTAACACTGCCAATAAGGGTGGGCAGGAAAAGCTATAACCAAAAAAAAAAGGATTGTCACTTTCAAAGTAAGATGGCTGTGACGGACAGAGAGACCCTCAATCCAGTTCCCAAAAGCAGCTAGGTCCTTTGAACACTACCTGCCCAGACGACCTTGGAATTGGATCTTTTCCCTGTCCAGCCTTTGGGTGAAACCTCAGCCCTGGCTAATGGGTGATTGCAGCCTTGTAGAAGACCATTTTGTGGGTAATGGATGCACCAACACAAAAGGGGAAATGAAGCAGTTCCCGCCCCTTGTGATGTCATCAGTGTTGGGGCCGGAGCCCCTACAGCTCATTGTCGCCTCCTGTGTGAATACCTGAGGGAGGAGGGGCAGGGCGTGCAGCTTTGGATGACTGCTTCCTACAGCCTGGCAGGCTCGGGAGGTGGCCTGAGTACTTTGGTCCCTGCCACCCAAGCAAGACACCTGGATTGAATTTTTGGTCTGGCCAGGCCTCGACTGCTGCAGGCATTTAGGGTGTGACCCGCCAGATGGAAGATCTTTGTTTTGTTCTCTGCCTCCTGACCTTTCACAGAAATGGAACAGAGAAACCTTTGAAAAGTATGTCCTAAGATGGGCATTTGCCCAGTAGTCATGATGCCTGCATCTCATATTGGGATGCTTTGGGTTCGAGTCCTAGCTTTGCTCCCAGTTGTGGCTGCCTGCTGTTGTGCCTCAAGGTGGCAGAAGCACTTGGGCCTGCTACCCACTGGGGAGACGTGAATTAATTTCCTCATTCCTGGCTCTTCCAGGCATTTGGGTAGTAAGATCTGTCTCTGTGTTTTAAATAAAAAGAAATTAAGAGTGTAAAAATAAACATGCCTGATGTTTGCTGTTTCCTGGTTGTCCCTACCCGAGGCCTTCAACTTCAGTTCCCTGGTGAACTGACAGCTTCTGGGTCAGGACCAAGCACAGCGTACATGCTTGCTCTGTGTAGTTACTGAGTGAAGGAATGACGTCTGAAACGTCCTTAAAATGGAGAGCTTGGGGGCCGGTGTTCGGCTGGCCTAGAGGTTGTACCACTTTGGCTCCATAGCAGAGCGTCTGGGTTCAGGTCCCAGCCCTGCTGTCAGTGCCAGCTTCCTGCTAATGGGGCTGAATGGTCAGATCTGGTGCCCACGTGGGGGACTCAGGTTGGCTCTCCAGCTCTTGGTTTCAGCTGGGGTTGGGGGAGTGAGCCAGAGGATAAATGAATGATGGAGAAACAATGGAACATTCATCATACAAGATGAGATGGATGCCGAAACCTATATTCCCTTGTAATAGCTTCACCTAACAGTTTGTGGCCAAAATATAAGTTTCAACTAGCCATCTACTTTCTCTTTCCTAACTTAATATTTTCATCTACTCAGAAGGTAGAGATTTTTTATCCTTTGATTCACTCCCCAGAGACCTGCAACCACTTACTGAAGCCCCAGTGAGGTTGGAAATTCTAGTGACTGTGTGTCATGGGAGACTGTCCCAGCCCCTCATTCATTTACTGTCCCTTTTCTATATAAATTAGCCTGTTCGGTGAGCTGGTGCAATGATGTATCAGGCTAATCCTTTGCAGGTGCCAGCATCCCATATGGGTGTCGATTTGAGTCCTGGCCGCTCCACTTCCCATCCAGTTCCCTGCTTACGGCCTGGGAAAGGAGTAGAGGACGGTAACTCCTTGGGACCCTACACCCACAGGGAAGATGTAGAGGAAGCTCCTGGTTTCAGAACGGCTCAACCCTGGTCGTTGGAGCCATTTGGGGAGTAAACCAGCAGACAGAAGTTCTGTCTATACAAATTTGCCTTTCAAATAAAAAACTATAAATAATAAAACAGCTCTCCATGAGGTGATGAGATCCATTGGAGTTAATTAGGTCTGTGGCAAATGCTGCATTACCTACCATTCACTGTGATGTTTTTTTGCCCATTTTACAGATAATGAAGGCAAGGCTCTGCAAGGAGCCATGGCTCAGCCAGGGCCATCCAGGCAGGATGCGGGTGCCTACAAGGATGAACAGTGAGCTGGCTGTGCTACGGCCCAGCCCAGGACCTAGCATTCAGGAGCTCCTAGCACTTGGTAGCCAGGGTTCTTCCTGGCCATCAAAGGGCTGCCTTGTTCTGCTGCCCCCAGCACAGGAAATTCCAGGTGGTTTTCCACACTGGCATTCTTGAGCTGTGTCCCTGGAGGGGACAGCAAGGGGCCTGGGTACCTCAAGTGAAACAAGAGTTTGTGGGCCTGTGGGAGACAAGGGGGAAGCCGCTGCCTTGAGTAACCTGGGCTGCTGTGGGGATCTGGGCATATCCTGGGCTGGCAGTCCCCACCCTGGCCAGGTTCTGGCCTCTGGGGGGTGTGGGTAACCAAGGGGGGTTGCCAGAAGGCGGGGTCAACACAGAACACAGGTTTCCTTGTGCTGCCGGAGAGACGGAGGGAGCGTACGAGGAACTCTGAGGCCTCTGTTCTCCCCAGTCACCATGGCTGGGTCTCTGTCTCCGGGGCTCTTCAGCGTCCTCATCCTGCTGTCTGCCCTCGCGGGGCTGAGCATGGGGGGCCGCACCATGCCCAAGCTGGCTGACCGGAAGCTGTGTGCTGATGAGGAATGCAGCCGTAAGAGTGGGGAGAAAGAACTGGGGTGTGGGTTCCTGACTTGAACGCATGTGGGTGTGTGCTGGAGGTAGAGAAAGGGCAGGGGGTGCCATCACCTATTTCTTCTGCAGACCCCATTTCCATGGCCGTGGCCCTTCAGGACTACGTGGCCCCCGACTGCCGGTTCCTGACCATATACCGAGGCCAAGTGGTCTACGTCTTCTCCAAGCTCAAGGGCCGCGGACGGCTCTTCTGGGGAGGCAGTGTGAGTGCTGGGAAAGCCCTGGAGGAGATGGTATGGGGCTGGGGGTGGGCAGTGAGCCCCCATGTTTTACATGGCACCAGCTATAGTGCCAAGTGTAGCCCTTTTATTTTACTAGGAAGCCTGTGACGATTAAGAGTGACCTCGGTTTGGGGGGTAGGAGAGGAGTTTGGTATGGGGCCTCTGAACAGATGTTATGGATGTTCATATTTGAGTGACAAGATTGGAGCCAGCAATATAGAGGTCAGAAAGAAAGGTGGATGGAGCTGGCCACACTGCCAGTGACTAGCCGGCTATTGCTCCCTCCTCTTAGGTTCAGGGAGATTACTATGGAGACACAGCCGCTCGCTTAGGATACTTCCCCAGTAGTGTCGTTCGCGAAGACCAGACGCTGAAACCTGGCAAGATTGATGTCAAGACGGATGTGAGTGTCCATGCTGGGATCTGGAGGGAGGCCCTCGGGGTCGTGATGTGCGCCCTGGGGCTCACCCTTCCCTGCCTTGCCTCTTGCACCTGGACGGTACGAGGTACATTGGTGTGGCCCATCACCAACTCCGCCCCATTGTTCTCACAGGTGGTCTCCCTGTCTCTCTTTTAGGAGTGGGATTTCTACTGCCAGTGAACGCAATCTGCCTTCCATCCCTGCTGTCTCCCCTCCTTCGCTTCATGCAAATACATTGGCCTGGTGCAGACTCTCCGTCTCTGTGCTCCTTGGGGGCGGGTTCCTGAATCTAGCCAATCAGTTGGCGGAGTGTGGGCACGTCAGTGGTTGTTTGGCAGAGTTTAGTGAGGCAAGATCTTGGTGCTGGCCTCTGGGTAAAGAGGATGCCCCTCACAAGTGGGAAAATGCAATGAGACCATCGGACATAAGTGGCGGAGCAGAGGCGTTGTGGGGAAGAACACTTGCAAAGGGACGTGGGAGACAACCTGTGCGTGTCCTCCCAATTTTCCTCCACCTTCCTACCTCTGAGGTCAGACATCGCACCTGCCATAGGCTCTGTCCATCCTGGCCACTGCCCCTACTTGGCGTCCTTAGCCTCGCCCCCAGGCTCCCTAGTATCCAATCCAGAGTCTGGACTCTGCTTTTCTCCCTCCCCGACTCCTGACCAAATCCGTTCCTCCCGTCGGCCAAGCCTCTCTCGGTCCCGCCCCTTCCCACTTGTTCCGCCAATCGCTCTCCTCGGTCCCGCCCCTCTCGCCGCGGCCCCTCTCACGCCACCAATCCGTGCGTCCCGTCCCGCCTCCTGCCGACCGAGTCCGCCAATCGCGCCCTTCGGGAAGCGTGGTCTGGTATCCCGCAGCCCTAGCGGGTCGCGCCGAAGGGGTGAGGCGGAAGTGGCGGCGCCGGGCCCCGGGAGTAGGAAGGATCCGGGGCTGCAAGCGGAGAGGAGCGGCTGGCAGCCGAGGAGCAGGCGCGGGCCGCGGCGCCATATTGCGGCCCTCTGTGGCCGCGAGCGAGTCATGGCCGAGACCTACGGTGAGGGTGGCGAGGGTCGGAGCGCGGGCAGGGAGTGGGAGACCCGGGAGCTGGGCCCGGAGAGGATGCGGCCTGGGAGCAGTGGGGCGGAGCTTTATGTGCCAGGGGGCGGGGTCTAAGTGCAGGCTGGGAGGGGCTTCGTGGTTGGGGGTGTTGAGCTTCATGGATGGGGGCGGAGCCTTGGGGCTTATAGGGAGCAGGGCTGGAGGGGTTCAGGGCATGCTGGGAGGGCAGAGACGGGGGTGGAGCCTGAGGGAGGGGGTCTGGCTTGAGAGGTCTGAAAGTGGACCGGGAGCTCTAAGGGAAAGATGCTGAGACAGGACCTGTTACCCGGGGAACAGACAGGACGCCAGGGGTAACCCAGGGGTGCAAGGAAGGGACATCAAGAGGGGCAGGGACTGAGCTGTAAGCTTCAGCAATGTCAGAGCTGAGACCCGGAGCTCTGGAGCCCTTTGGCTTGGATGTTGGGGCATCCCAATCTCTCTGGCCTCAGCTTGCTCATCTGGGAAATGGGTATCATTCTGCGATTCCCTCCGTCTTGTGCCTGGCCCTGGGGAAGCTCCTGAGCTCTGATGGCTACCACCCATTTAACTGGGACGGTCTTTTGGTTTCCGTCCTTATTCCTGCGGTATCCTCGGCCGTCTCTTCATCTGCCCAGACTTCCTCTTCAAATTCCTGGTGATTGGCAGTGCAGGAACTGGCAAATCATGTCTCCTTCATCAGTTCATTGAGAATAAGTGTGAGTTTCCAGCAGCGTTCCTGGGAATGCCGGGCTGGCTACGGGGAAGGCTCCCAGCAATGAGAATGGCTTGGTGGAACGGGATCGGGGGTCTGGAGAATGGGGTCCTACTGCATTGCCTCCTATCTCCCTCCCACTCTCAGTCAAACAGGACTCAAACCACACAATCGGCGTGGAGTTTGGATCCCGGGTGGTCAATGTGGGTGGGAAGACGGTGAAGCTACAAATTTGGGACACGGCTGGCCAGGAACGGTTTCGGTAGGTGGGCTGGGCCCTCATGCGTGTGTGTATGTGTGTGTGTGTGTAAAGATGCAAGGATGCACTTTTAACTTGCAAGAAACAATAGCAGGCCAGCGAGCGGGCAGGCCCAGCAGAGGGAAGGTGATGGACGGATGTACAGAGACCAGTGGAGAGGGAGAGACCGACACAGGGCGAGGTGAAGGACAGTGGGAGACGGGAAGAGAAGCAGAGGCGGGGCAGCCAAGTGCTGTAGGAGACGGGAAATGGACGAGCAGTGGGTGAGAGGAGCACTGGGGCAGGGCACTCCAGTCTTCAGACTGGCACAGAACAGGGGGCAGGGCCAGGCCACGCCCCAGGGAAGGGTGGTTGCCAGGCAGCCCCAAGACCCAGGCCTGAAAGGAGAGGCAGGTGGGGAACAAGGGCCGGTTCTTAGTTGGCACTTACACCTGTTCATGGAGTGATTGCATGGGTTCCCAAAGGTCCCAGGTTGCGCTCCACCACACACAGGCCTGGCTGGAGAGGGACCCATGGGTGTTGCTTTGGCCGGGACTAGGCAGAGGAGATGCTCGGAAGAGGTGAATGAATGGGCAAGCCAGGGTGAGGATGAGAGAACCAGAGGCAGGAATAAACACATGCCCAGGAGACAGGCTCCTAAAGAGGCACCGAAAGACAGGGCTCAGATACAGGGAGAGCCTGGCAGGGGTAGGCAGTAGGCAGACGGGAAGCCACGTAAGAGAGGCAGAGAGAGAAGCAGTGTGTGTGGTGGCCAGACCATGGTTAGGCTTGGTGACAGCGGGGGGAGGAGCTGGGTGAAGAGAGGTCCTTCAAACCCACAGCCTTTCTCTGCAGAGAGGGTGGGCAGCCCCAGCCCCGGGGCTGACTGTGCCCTCCTGGTCCCCGCAGGTCAGTGACACGGAGTTACTACCGAGGGGCGGCTGGAGCCCTGTTGGTATATGACATCACCAGGTGGGTGCCTGGAGTGGGCGGGGCCCACACGGAGCCCCAGGGCAGCCCCCTTTTGCTCGCTGCTTCCTTCCTCTCTCGCCTCTCTGCAGCCGGGAGACGTACAACTCGCTGGCCGCCTGGCTGACCGATGCCCGCACCCTGGCCAGCCCCAACATCGTGGTCATCCTCTGTGGCAACAAGAAAGACCTGGACCCCGAGCGTGAGGTCACCTTCCTGGAGGCCTCACGTTTCGCCCAGGAGAACGGTGAGGGCCAGGCGTAGGGGTGGGCTCTCCAGCAGGGGAACGGACAGGAAGGTCAGAGGCCCTTGGGTTCACACATGGGCTGTGTGGCTGCCTTGTCCTCAGTCGCCTCCCCTGGAAGGTGAAGTTCACACCGCGGTTGCTGTGCTGGCTGGGGGAGTGGCCTCAGCACCTGCTGGCACCTGCGTCGCACCCACTGGCAGGTGCCTGACGGATGCTGGCTGCTGGGTTTTCAGTGGGCTTCAGGTGGAGGCCTACTTTGTGAGCGAGGGGGATGGGAGGCAAGGGAGGTGAGGTGAGTGGAGTTGGGGGGCCTGGCCAACCACTGGTGGGAACTGGTCTGATAATATTGTGTGGCTGAACCAAGGGCATCTGCTGGCGGGGGAGCTTCCAGCGGGCCCCAGCCTGCAGCCTCCTGGTTCAGGGCAGGCTTGGCCATAAGAGAGGTGGGCTTTGAACCGTGGCTTTGCCATGCACATGGGGAGGCCTGATCACGGGGCTGCTGGGGACTCCTGGGCCCTGCCATCGGGGGCTCTCTGTCCAGTGGGAGAGGGTGGGGAGACAGGTGCAGCTCCAGAGAGAGGGGAGGGGTAGGCACAGGCTGAGGGTGGTAGCTGGGTTTAGGAAGACACAGAAGGCTCTGGGGCTCCAGGAGCGGTGCTGTGGTCAGGGAGAGTTTTCTGGAAGGGGAACTATTTGAGCTCTGGAGGGGGAGGAAACTTCCTGGCCAGCAGGTGAGAGCTTGGGACATGAGGGAGGGGGAGGATGAGGACCCTGAGCCGGGTGTCTGTCCCTCTCCCCACCCCCCATGCCACAGAGCTGATGTTCCTAGAGACCAGCGCACTCACAGGCGAGAATGTGGAGGAGGCCTTCCTGAAGTGTGCCCGGACCATCCTCAACAAGATCGACTCTGGTGAGGCCCTGGTGGGGCTCGCAGACAGGTGGGGCACAGGGCCTCCGCAGCCCACCCATTCTGACCCCACCACCCCTGCCATAGGCGAGCTTGACCCCGAGAGGATGGGCTCGGGCATCCAGTATGGTGATGCTTCTCTGCGCCAGCTGCGGCAGCCGCGGAGTGCCCAGGCTGTGAGCCCTCAGCCCTGTGGCTGCTGAGCTGTGTGGAGCCAAGGTGAGATGCTGGGAGCTCCCTCTGGGAATCCGGGCGGTGGGGTGGGGGAGGGATTCTGCTGCGGGAGAAGGAGCCCAGAGCACAGAGAAAGATGCAAAATGACCTGTGCTGGGGGTACCCTTCTCGGCCCTGGGAGTGTCACCCGTTGGCTCAGCCCTGGCCCAAAGCTTCCCTTGCCACTGCCCCCATGGAGCCCGCACTCTCTCGGGAGGAGACGGATGATCAACAAGGAGTCCCTAGTGAGCGGTGCAGTAGTTAGGGTGTGTAGTTGCGGCAGGGGTGGCCCCGTGGGGAAGGTGCCATTTGAGCAAGCACCCAAAAGCAGGAAGGGCAAGAGTATACCCAGCAGTGAGATCAGCCAGTGCCCAGGAACCATGCCCGGCAGGGGTGAGGGAGGTCAAGGTGGCCAGGGTGGCTGTGGAGGAGCAGGTGTGTGTGTGTGTGGGGGGGGGGGTAGGGGTGAGGTTAGGGGTGGGTGAGAGTAGGGGCAGTCAGGGCCCATGGCCACAGGGGTGCTGCGGCCTTGGCAGCCTCAACTGCAACCCCTCCCACACCTTGCATGTCTTCTCCTCCTCGGTCACCACAGCCACATTCTCCTAGGGCCTTTGCTCATGCTGGGGTCCCTACCTGGAGCACCCCACCGCTCTCTTCTTTTTCTTGGGAACCTCCTTCTCTGTTCAAGCTTCATCTGTCCTGCAAAGTCCTTAATGAATCAGTTTATTTAGATTTATGTATTTATTTGAACGGCAGAATTACAGAACCTGGGGTGGGAGGACAGAAATCTTCCATCTTCTCGTTCCCTGGTTCCCAAATAGCTAACACAGCCCCAGCTGGGCCAGGCTGAAGCCAGCAGTCTAGTACTCCATCGGGATCTCCCGTGTGGATCAGGGGTCCAAGCACTTGGGCCATCCTCCGCTGCCTTCCCAGGCACATCTGCAGGGAGCTGGATCAGAGGTGGAACAGCTGACACTCAAAGCAACACTCACGTGGGTAGCAGGTGGCAGCTCAACCCGCTGTGTCCCAGCACCGGCCCCTCTCCAGACTCCAAGGCAGACGTACAAGACTCACGGGATTTGGTCTCGACCTTGCCTCTCTAGGTCTCTGTGTGTTTCTAGTTCAGTCTCTCCTCTGGACTTCATGGCCAGTCCCCTCCCAGCCACTGGCGGCTCTAGAGTCACAGTGGGAAAAACAGTTAGGTTTTCCCGATGGGATGCAGGTGGAACTTGAGAGTCAGTAAGAGGAGTCAGTCGTGCTGGCTGTAAGCTGGGGCAGTTCCCTCATCTAAACGAACCACAAGCCTGGCAGTATTAGCCACCAGTCTGTGAGTGCCATGAGGGTGAAGTTAGTTATTTCAGGGGGCATGAGCGAGAACTGGTTAGTTTTTTTTTTTTTTCCCCGGCTCATCTTAGTGACAGCGGGCCACACAGAAGCGGACAGGCGGTGGGGCGAGGTCTTCTCTCCAGGGCCCGACACAGTCCCGTGTTCAGGTTTGCCCATAGCAGATCACACATCCTAAGAGCGTGCTGTCTCAAACAACACGGACTGCCATTTGCAGCAGGAAAGGAGTTGGCCAAGTTGATGTAATAGAGTCACGCCCACTTAGAAAACACGTTTTTCTGTTACCAGTATGCTTGTTTATGGAAATATAATTCCTGGGCCATGAATTTCGTGATTCCTAAATGCATGATCCGGGGTACACATGGGTCCTGCCACTCCAGCACTATCTCCAATTCTGGCACATCTTTCCATGAACTCCATATGCATTCGGCAGCCCCTGTCCGTGCTCCCCCAGGCCCTGGTGGCCATCTGCCGGCTCTGTGTCCACAGACCCAGGCCCTCACCGCCACAATGCACTCTGGCCATTTTTATTTTATTCCATTTGAATGGAAAACTGGCCAAGGCCCATCAAGCTGCATACAGCACTGCAGGTTGGAATCCTCTGGGCCATGGGCTGGGACGGGGGTGTGTCAGAAGACAGACTGCTCAGGCTGTTGCCACCGAGATCCCAGGACGAGCTGGGGGCTTTCTGGAAGCTCCCAGGTACTACAGAAAACAACCAGAAGCAAGCATCATGGACATGTGTCTGTCCACTTTGGGAAACACTCGAATGAGACGCAGGGTCAGGGCAGCCCAGGGACCCAGAGCGACACAGCAGTGCGACGGTGGGAAAATGGGGTTTAGACACACTGCAGTGTGCCTGCACAACTCAGCCCTATGAGGCAAGGTAGGTGGGCAGGCAGGCCCCCTGGGAGATGCAGGCATGGTCAGCACTAGAGAGAGCCAGAGGTTACCGGAAGCCTCACTGTGCGAATTCTGGGAGAAAGGGAAGGACACAGGCAGACAGAGCCAGATCAGAGACTGGAAGATACTCAGAAGTGAGCAAGCAAGCAGGTGGACTGACCGAGGGCATCCTGGGTCATCACACCCTTCTCTTTCAGCTCACCTGTTCTCCAGGACCAGCCCTGCCCTTCTGGCGGGGCCCCTGATCCGGGCCCCAGGAGGCCGTGTCCCAACTGCCCTGGCCCCAGAGAAGCTGCCCCGCCACCTGTCCCCCCTTCCCTGGCCTGGTGGGGCCTGGCTTTGGGGCAAGACTGAGCCACAGGGGGGAAGGGGAAATTCATACCTGCTGCTGCTTCCTCTGTCTTGGCTAACCTCTGTCCCTCCGCGCCCCCAACCCTGAATCCCTAACCAGTACCACAAGAGCTCCCAAAGCCTGAGACCAGGGCTGTCCGGCCCCCACTCACCACCTGGCCCTGCTGTTGCGAGTATGTGTTATTTATTACCCGGAGGCCTGCCCCCTCCCAACTGGACCCCCATAAAGCATTGTTTACACCTGTGCCTCAGCCTCCATCATTTTGGGGTGGTGGGGAGACGCCAGAGATGGCTGGTGGAAGGATCATGCATCCTGGGGTTCACGTGCCACATTTCTGGGTTGCCCAGGGAGAGGGGTCCACCAGGGTGACCATGACAGGTACTCTGCCATGCAGGGGGTGGAAGTCGGATGCACTGGCTGGGTAAACAGCACCACCAGTCCCCGTGTTGCGTCCCGTGTATGAGTGCGTCCAGTACCCTGTGGAGGACAGAGTGTACACTGCTGCCCGTGACTGCTCCGTGTCCTGTTTGGGCCTGTGGGTGGCTGGCCCCGGGGGCCACACCTGCTTTTACCCAGGTGTTGCAGATGCCCGAAGGTCCAAGGCAGTGACTCAGCACCGTGGATGTACTCACAGCGAGTTGGCCAACCCTAACTCACACATTCACACCAGAGCCTGTCCCAGGGCACCAGGTGAACCGGGGACACTTCCAGGTAAGCCGACGTACGGAGGTGCAGCTCCTAGCGGCAGGGTGGCTCTGCCTGCACTGCCCATGGCACTCCCACCCCCAAAGAGCCTTAGTTGACCCCTGGCACGGGTGGGGTGGAGAGGCTGAGCGCCCCTTGGGCCTGGGCGACGCCAGAGAGGGCGGGCATTCAAAATAACCTCGTCTGCTGGGCTGTCTCAGGTAGCCCAAGTATTTGTTAGCTGAGTGAAGCTGGCCGTACAAAAAGCCCTCCGCGGAGTCTTCCCAGGTCGCGGGGATAGGGTGGCGAGGGTCGTGCAAACGTGACGTATCACCTCCCAGCTCTGCTTTCTTTTCTACCGAGGACGTCACGCGCTCCTCCTCTGGGTTATAAAAAGTACTTACGTAAATTACCTACTGACGTGCGCACTGACAGACGTCGACGCCCAGCGCGGCAGCCATTTCCCAGGATCTGCTCGCCCTTCCCGCGACGAGAAGGCGTGGCCATGCAAATACAGCATTTGCATACCGCGCCCCTACCCGCCTACTCCACCCGCAGCGTAGTGGGTTTGCAAGGAGTGGGCGTGTCCGTGTGAACTGTCTCACTTGCAAGCCCCTCCCACACGGCGTGCAGTCCCGACACGATTAGCGTATCCCCCCCACCCCGCCTATACCAGGGAGGGGGCGGGACTTAGTGCGCCCCTAGAGGCCCGCCCCGCGCAGGCTCGCGCACGCGCCCTGGCCTCCGCCTGCCCGCGGTCACGTGCCCTCCGGGCGAGGCGGGGGCGGAGCGTGGCGGGCGGTGGGGGCGGGGTATGGCGCACGGTGCGGCGCAGGGCGGCTGGCACAAACGGCGGCGCCGGGGCCGGAGGAAAAAGCTGGGTGAGGAGGTCGCGGGGAGACCTGGGAGGAGGCGGAAGCCTGAGTCGGGGTGCGGACCGAGGGAAGAGGGTGGGGAACGTGTGGAGGACGCGAGCCGGGACCCGCCTGGGCGGCCCGGGGAGGGGGAGGGGAGGCCGGGCGGTGGGGGTGGGGTGCGGGAGGAAGCGCGCGCGGGGCACTTTGGGTGCCGGCCGTTGTGGGGTGGAGGGGGGACGGAGAGGCCGAGCCCCGGCGGTCGGGGCGGCGGAGGGCGGCGCAGGCTCCTCCCGGTCCCCCGCCGCACCCCGCCTGGAGCTCTCTCGGAAGAGGTTTGGGCCGAAGCGCCCCGATGGGGGAGGCGCGTCCTCCTCCGTCCTGTCCCGGGGTGTCTGCGCCCCGGTCGCCAGGGACCTCCCTTCCGTGTGGGTGTGTGCCCGCCCCCCGCCGGCTTCCTCCGCCCGGGCCCCGCACGACCCCACCAGCCGTCCTGTCCGGCCCCGCAGGGCCTTCCTCCCGGCTTCCCTCCGGTCTCTGTTTCTGCCCCCTGCGTACCCCCCCTCCTCCTCCGTTCTCTTTGTCTCAGGTCTCCCCGATTTCCTCTGCCTGTTGACCTCTGCTGCCCCCAACTCAGACTTCCTGGATTCCCCCTTTCCCTCTAGGCTGGGGACCCCCTCCCACATTTTTGTGCGTCTCCCTGGAGCCCATCCATGCAGTCCCTCCTACTCCCTCCCCCCACATACACATTTTCCTCTTTTCCGTGCTTACCTGGTGGCACTTGGCTGGTCCCCTGGCAGTCCTCTCCCTCCCATCCAACCCTTTTCTCTGGCTGCTCCTCTCACTGTCCCATGTCTGTCAGCGACTTCCCGCTTTGTCCTAAGGTTTGGGGTCTCTGGTGCCCCATATTCAGGGATGCAGTTTATATTCCACCCCATCCCCATCTCCCAGCCTGCCTCCCTCCATCTGTCTCTCTCTCTTTCTCTCTCCAGCCATCCTGACGAGTCCCTTCCCAAGCCGCTAGGGACCCCAGTGGACTTGGGGGCCACCGTGTACTTCCAGGGCACGAGACCCGCTGCTGCCTGTCCTGCCTCACCCTGCCCGGCAGCAGGCCCAGCGGCCTCCGGCTGCAGCAAGTGGAGGAGGAGGTGGTGGTGGAGGGTGGCACCATGGGCCCGGGCCGTGCCCTCCATGCCCGGGGGATGAAGACACTGCTGCCATGGACAGCCCGTGCCAGCCGCAGCCCCTGAGTCGGGCTCGCCCTCCCCTGACAGGGTCTGTGTCAGAGCCTGTAGAGCCTGGCCGTGCCAGGATGGGGGTGGAGAGTTACCTGGCCTGTCCCCTGCTGCCCTCCTACCACCACAGTCCTGGAGCACCTGCACCTTCCGAGGCCTCGGTGGGGAGTGGGGCTCCCAGAGCCACGGCCACCTCCACCACTGCCAGCGCCCTGCGGGAGGGCTTGGGTGGCCAGGATGGTGGTGAGCTATGGCCACTGCGGAGTGAGGGCGCCGCAGCACTGGTCACCAAGGGGTGCCAGCGACTGGCCGCCCAGGGTGCCCGGCCTGAGGCCCCCAAACGGAAGTGGGCAGAGGACGGGGGAGATGCCCCTTCACCCTGCAAGCGGCCCTGGGCCCGGCAAGAGAACCAGGGGACCGAGGAGGAGGGTGGCGCGGGCCACAGCAGCGGCGCTGGCGAGCCGAGTACCCGGCGGAAGGAGGAGGCTCGGCCCTCGGCGCCAGAGCGCCTGGCCCTGGACTACATCGTGCCCTGCATGCGGTACTACGGCATCTGCGTGAAGGACAACTTCCTGGGGGCGGCATTGGGGGGCCTTGTGCTAGCTGAGGTGGAAGCCCTGAAGTGCAGCGGTCGCCTGCGGGATGGACAGCTGGTGAGCCAGCGGGCCATCCCACCGCGCAGCATCCGCGGGGACCAGATCGCCTGGGTGGAAGGCCATGAGCCAGGCTGCCAGAGCATCGGCACCCTCATGGCCCACGTGGACACCGTCATTCGCCACTGCGCTGGGCGACTGGGCAGCTACGTCATCAATGGGCGCACTAAGGTAAGGCTCCCAGGGACGGGCTGTGGGGGGACCTGAGGGAGGTGCGCTGTGCTGGCTGTTTAGGTCCCGGGCACAGTGGGGTGGGAGTGCGCTTGGGATTTCTGCATCTGTAAGCCAGCGCTCTGACCAGGAGCTTCAAGCATCCCTGTCCCCGAATGTGCACCGTGTAGTCGGGAGGCGGGTCAGCACACGAAGGCAGGCACACACTCCTTCCTCCGTCCTCCTGGCCTGTCCAGCCCGTCCGGCCCGCCCCGAGAGGATTGTGTGTGTGCATCCTGGTCCCCAGGCTGGACTAGGAGCGGGAGTGCTTGCTGGGCTGTGTGCACTGAGGGCAGTTCCCCTCCATGGGCTGCTGCCGTACCCCGCCAACCCACCTTCCGTGCTCCGTTGCTCTGTTCATCTCACCAACTGTTGTGCTCAGCCTGGCTCCCTTTGCTCCACTGGCCCACCTTTCTTTCTCCATGCTGAGTGTTGTCAATCTGTCTTTGGAATCTGAGTCTCTCTGAGACTCTGTCAAAAGCCATAGACTTTTCTCCCAGGAAACCCCACTCACATGGTTGGCATTGATAGCCAGTTGTCAGGTCCTGGTATCCTGGCTGTCAAGTCAAGAGCCTGGCATCCAGTGCCCCACATGAGAGTCCTACCAGGTCCCTCCGGTCCCTGACATGCCGTGGGGATGAGTGTGAGGGCCTTGCTCCTGAATTCAGAGTGCCTACTGCCTGTGTTGTACCAGCGGGCGGGTGTGGGACTGCCCGTGTGAGGTACCTCCCCCTGCCTCCCTCGGATCCCATCTTGTTTCTCCTGCTCTGAGGCCAGCGCTGGCCCAGGGACCAGCTCCCCCGGGGCTGAGGCCTGCTTCCTCCCTGGCTGGAGACCCGCCTGCCTGCCTGCCTCCTGCTGCTTGATCACAGGAGACCTGGTGTTGTCGTTGCCCGGGCTCAGCCCCCTGTGCAGGGTTCAGCATCTTCCCTGCTGGCGGGAAGGGAAGTGAAGGGAGGGGCACTGCTCTGGGAGCAGGTTGGTGCCCTGGCTGTGACTTGGATCTGTTTGGGGACTGAATGCTGGCTGGCATTGAGGAGGCGGATAGGAGTTGTCAGGACATTTTAGAAGCCCTCGGCGACCTTGGTTACCCTGAGGAGGTGAGAACAGCTGGGCCAGGGAGTCCGTTCCAGCACTGGTGGAGCTCCAGGCCTGCCTGCTGGAGGGCGGCCTCCTGATGTCCTCCCCGGCTCTGGGGGATGGCCCTGAGGAGCTGGGACATGTGGGAACAGCGGCGCTGGGACCTGGACGCCCGTGCTACTGGCCAGCAGCCTGAACCTCGGTAGTGTCGTGTCTGTTTAGATTTGTTTATTTGAAAGGCAGGGTTACATGCGTTGGGGAGGCATACTGCATCTGCTGGGTTGTTCTTCAGGTGGCAACTGCAATGGCGAGAGCTGGACATGTCCGAAGCTAGGAGCCAGGAGCTTTTTCCGGATCTCCTATGTGGGTGCAGGGTCCCAAGGCTTTGGGCCATCATTCATTGCTTTCCCAGACCACAAACAGGGAGCTTGATGGAAAGTGGAACAGTTGGGACACGAGCTGGCAATCACATGAGACGTTGGCGTCACAGGTGGCAACTTTACGCACTGTGCCACAGCTCCAGTCCCTGGGTTGTTTCTGAGTGAAGCTCCTGTGTCCTGCTCACTTGAGCAACACACAGGATGGCATTGGCTCTGCTGGTGTCCAGGGAGGCCTTCCTGGGCTCTGTAAGTGCAGTGTGGAGGAGGTGGGCCTTGGCGACCCTGTCTGCGGATCAGCTCCTGACTTGGATGGCATGTGTGCTGGTGGCACATCTGGGTGTGGTGCTGCCAGGGGCCTTGGCATCTGCAGGCTCCTGGCCACAAGCTCACCTGCTTTCTCCCTGAGGGCTGAAGCTTTCCTTTCTGGGATTAGGCAGTAGGGGCTCCCCAGCGATGGGGGTCCTCTCAAGGAGTATATAGTGGGGAGAGGGCGGGTTCCTGTATCCGTGCCCTGCCTGCATGGATGTGCTTGGGAGGCACACCAAGCGTGCTGTGCGGGGGCACTGGAGGACCTGGCAACCGACACTGCCCTGGGGAGACTCCTGTGGAGCTGCTGGGCAGCAGGCACCTGTGCTGATTGCTCAGTGAGAGGAGTGTGCAGTCAGTACACAGGGCAACCCTTGACCTGTGTGCCACAGGAGAATGCTGCGCACCGGGCCAAAGGCCTTGGGGTGTGGATGAGGCAGGCCCGGTGAGGCTCTGCAGAGTGCTGGAAAGCGGGAGATGACTGAGTGGATGCTTGGGTTTCCTCAGGGTGAAGTGGCCAGCTGGGAAGCTGGCTCCCCAGATGGGCTGTGGGAAGAGGGCGCAGTCCTGGGCGTAGTGTAGTCTCCAGCTGGAGTCTTCACTGGGCTGCTGGGCCTTGCGGGTCCTGGCTGCAGCCAGCCACAGCCGCAGGCTCTCTTTCCACAAACCCTCTGCAGGCATGGAAGCCAGGCTTGGTGTTCTTGCTCGGCGTCCCTGGGGCTGCAGGAGGAGGAGGTTGACCTTGGCTCGCAACAGGCTTCCTGGTGCCCCTATCTGGGAACTCTGGGCAGGGTCTGTGGTGGGCCAGGTGCAGGTGTGCAATGCGGAGCAGTGCCCCATGCACACAGGGCCAGGCACTGCACATGTCCTCTCTCCCCCATATGGGCCTGTTTCAGGGCTGTCTCCCTGGGATGGAGACAGGTGGACCCTGCCTGGGGAGAAGCTTGGGGGTCTTCCTGACAGTTTCCCTTAGAGTCATTCTGCATCCTCCAGCCCTCCCAGTGGCTTTGAGCAGAGGATGGGATGGGGGCATGCTCGCCCGGGGTATCTGTCCCTACATCTCTCCGCCTACCCTGCATTGCAGCGTGGTAACAGGGCCCCTGCTGGGTGTATGTAGACACTGGTTCTTATCCCCCAACCACTTGTGAAGTAACCATTGCCTCCCTCTCCTTCGGGGGTGAGGACGCTGAGACAAGGGGGTTCATCCTTCAACCTGATGCTGCATCCTGTGTGGCAGCTGGATTTGCAGAGGTGGCTGTGTCCTTTCCTTCCCGCTGCACCGCCTTTTTGCCACCTCCCTCCCTCAGAGTAGGCTTCCTGGGGCTTGGCTGCAGCCTCAGAACCCATAGCCAGAGCTGTACACCCGGCAGCCCAGACCAGAGCACCTGGGAATCCCCAGGGTTATGCTCCTGGAGGGGATGGGGCTGCTGTCGTAGATGGGTGTTTGCTGAGCTGCATTTGGGAGTGAGGCGGTGCGGCTCTAGGTTTGGGTTCTTTTTCAGATTGTGGGGCACAGATAAGTGATTTAATGGGGATTCTTTGTCGGCAGAGGCAGAGGTTCTTAGCTTTGGAATTGGGTGTGGGGAAAGTTGTGGACAGCCCAGGCCCACCTTTAGACAAGTCCTGGAGCAACAGGCCTGGGCATTGGGGACTTCCTGCCTGCAGCCAGGGGACACCACAGTAGTCTAGGGTTGTGCATTCCACCATGCATTTAAATTGGTTTTATTTTACTAAAGTGGCTGACGTGGTACTGGGGTTTGTCCTGGGCTGTTTGGGTGCCAGGTCCTGAGTACATGGGGGGCATGGGTGGGATTTTCAGGCCCAGGAGATGAGGTTTCTGATCGATGTGGGGGTGAGGTCTTAGCTGAAAAAGGAGAAAGGCTCTGGGGGCTGGACCCTTGGAGTCCCAAATCCCTGCAGGACTCCAGGGGAAGACGGGTGTGGGGAGGTGAGAGGGAGGTGGTAGCTGCATCCCCCTGTGGGCCGTGCATAGCTTCCGCAGACCCCCCATCTCCATCTCTGCCAGGCCATGGTGGCGTGCTATCCAGGCAATGGGCTGGGGTACGTGAGGCATGTCGACAACCCCCATGGCGACGGGCGCTGCATCACCTGCATCTATTACCTGAATCAGAACTGGGATGTTAAGGTAGGGTGTGGGGTGACGGGCTCACACTGCATGTCCGCCTGTTGGGCTGCTCCAAGCACGGTTCCAGAGTGGGGAGGGGTGTTGGCTGCAGGCTCTGCCTGGGAAGTGGCTCCTCCTCTAGCTGACTGGTGGGAACTCCCCCCTTCCTTTCCTGGAATGGTGCTGTCTGCCTAGCCCCACCCGGTCTGCTTCTGAACACGCTCCCCGTTTTCCTGTCTTTAGTAATTTCCTGTGCAGTCTCCATAGTGATGCAGACTCTGGGCTGTCATTCACTGTAAGAGCCTGAGTGGGGGAGGGAACAAGGGGCACCCAGCCTGGCGGGACTGGCCTGCCCCACCCTGCGGCCTGCCCTCAGGTGCACGGCGGCCTGCTGCAGATCTTCCCCGAGGGCCGCCCTGTGGTCGCCAACATCGAGCCGCTCTTTGACCGCTTGCTCATTTTCTGGTCTGACCGGCGAAACCCCCACGAGGTGAAGCCCGCCTATGCCACCAGGTACGAGTCCTGCTGCTGTGGCAGTGCCAACAAAGTTTTCTCAGACCGCAAGGTGGCTAGGGAAGCCCTGGGGGACTCAGATGGGGGTGACTCATGGACAGCTCATTGCCCTGCACTGCTTCCAGGTACGCCATCACTGTCTGGTATTTTGATGCCAAGGAGCGGGCAGCAGCCAAAGACAAGTATCAGCTAGGTACCGCTCCCCTCCCTCGTGTCCTTCCCGTGGCGGGCCTCCCGTGGGGGGCTCCCCATCCCACCGTGCAGTCCCCCTCTGCCTAGATGGCTCACTTTCTCTCTCTGCCCAGTGTGAGCCTGTTTGTGCCCCATCCTCTCCCATCAGCCCAGGTCTCCCTTGCTTCTCTGTCCCGTTTCCAATACTCACCATCTTTTGTCCCTCTCTACCCTCAGCGACAGGACAGAAGGGTGTCCAGGTTCCTGTCTCGCAGCCGCCCACGCCCCCCTAGGACCAGCCCCGGAGCTGCATGGACAGCTTGCCTTGACTTGCAGCCGGCAGCCGCGCAGCCTCGGTGCCTGTCCCCTCCCCGCTGCCGCCGCTGCTTCTGACTTGCCTGTCTCCACACTGAGGACCAAGGAGGATGCCTCTGTGGCCCAAGCTGAGCGGAGGCTGGCGTTGGAGGCTGCCATGCCCGGAGCAGGCCCCAGTCACCACCCCAGTAGTGCGGAGAGCTGGGGCAAGACTTCATCGCCTTGCACCAGGAGGCAGGATTTGGGGTTGGCGTGAGTCATGGGCTCTGGCTGGAAGAGGTTTGGGGGCTCTCCCCTAGCCCCCTCCTCCAACTCCTCCAGCCTGGAATGTGAAGTGACTCCCTAACTCCTTAGGCCGTAGCACCTTTTGGACCGGGCTGCCGTGGTGGGGCTGGGGCTGGGGCCTGGAGGGAGGCCCATGGATGTGGAAGCTTGTCAGCCAAGTAATAAAGTTTACCTCAGAGCTGCACCCGGCCGATGCTAGCCGCGGGTCAGGCCTTTATTGACCTGGGCCAGGGGAAGGTGGGGGATCGGGTAGTGGGCCTCAGTGGGCCACCAGGTGGAGCCAGAAGGCCCCGGGGGATTGTCCAAGCCTGTGTACTGCAGCTTGATGTTGATTGTGGCTGGGCTCCCCACAGGCAGCAGGTGGAATCTCCGCAGGATGGTGGTGAGGAAGAGGAAGATCTCCGATTGTGCCAAGCCTGCGCCCACACACATCCCCTTTCCTGGGGGCACAGGTGCACTGTGAGCCCCATGGTTCCTGAAAGCCTGGGCTGAGCCCTTCACTCCAGGCACCTGGGCAAAGGGCATGAAGGCGTCGTTGCTTCAAAATTCACCCTTGTTGTCCAGAAAGTTGCTGAGGTTGAAACTGTCCGGGTTCTTGAATTGGGTGGGGTCCCAGTGCGTGGACTCAAGAAGAGGAATCATGCAAGTTCCCTGGGATACACCCGATGGGGTTACTGTGGAATTGGCAAGGGCCCCTCATCCTGCTTCTGGAGCGATGGCTGTGTGCCCTCTAGCACCAAGCATGTCCATCCTGGCTGAGTTAGGCCAATAGCTGCTTGTGTTCCTGATTCCCCCCCCCCAAGCTCAGTTGGGTACCTTGGGCAGGAAGTGGTTGTGCAGGTGGGTGTCGCGAATAAGAGCGTGCGACAGCCTCAGTGGAGCACTCCGGTGAAGCACTGGATCTCGTGCAGCATAGCCTGTCTGTAGGGCAGATGCACCCCATTCTCTAGGCTTGGGGAGCGTATCCAAACCACCCCTGTGTCCAGCTCAGCCTGCAGCTTGGCTGGGACAGGTGGAGACTGGGAGCTGTGCGCTCCCCGGACCAGCAACCATCTCCAGCCTTTCGCTATCTCTGCCTGCCTCCCACCCCTACCCACCAGGGCCCCAGCCTGGCAGACCTGCCACCTCTGGGTACTTTAGAAGAATGAGAAGCCTGTAGGGCAGGGTGGTGCTGGTGGTCTTCATGCTGCCAAAGAAAAGGTTCTGTGTTGGCATCACCAGTGTCTCTTCTTGGAAGTGGCTCTCCAGGCCCCGTTGTTCCTGCAGGCAAAAGCAAGTGGCACTGCTGCATCACGCGCTGGGCACCTGCTGTCAGGAGGCACGAAGAGTTTAGGGTAGCAGGCACCTGAACTTTGTCCATTTGGTCAAGAAAGCAATCTCTGAAATCCCGCAGCTGCCTGGTCTGCCTCGTCTGCTGGTGCCACCAGGTTTGCTCATAGATGAAGACCCACAGCTCCTCAAAGTTCCAGAAGATTTGGTGGTGCAGTCCAGGGATCCATTCCAGCAGGGAGGGGAAGATGTGTATCTCGGCAGACATGGATCCCAGTCTGACCTTGCAAAAGGTCACCACACTTTGGCTGTCCCACAGGTAGACCTGGCCAGGATTTTGAGGTTGCAAGTTCTGCAACAAGAATTCAAGCCTGCTCGGTTCTGGTGGCCACTCTGGTTGGCTCGTGGACTGGTGGGCGCCGATAGGAACAAGGGGCTGGCTGCCCTCAGTCCATCACGAGCTCATGAAGCGGAAGTTGTCGTTGAAGAGGTCCAGCAGCTGCATGAACTGTGGGTCCGGGTCCCTATAGCTGTAGCACTTCCCGAAGACCACAAAACAAATGATGGACACGGTGTTGTCCAGTAGCTGCCGTGGGTTGAGTGAGGCCCCTGTGGGTGCAAGCAGGACTGGGGTCACCGTGCTTCCTGGGTGCACGCCTACCACAGCCCTGTTTTCTGCGCTGGGCCACACCTGCAGTGGCTTGAAATTCACCAAGCAAAACTGCTGCTTCCTCCAGGATTCTTTCCTTGATGGTCTGCGTGCCCAACCTGAACTCCAGTGCACCGAGGGCGGGATTGCACAGTGCCTGCCAGCGTGGCCCATTGGGAAACATGATCCCTGCAGGTGACGGCAGAGGGTGCGGGTCTGGGTCGAACTGGGTTACCCAGCGCAGTCCAGGGCTTCGCCTTACCCCGCTCCCCAGTTGGCAGCCTTCCCAGCCTGACCACACCTTGGCTGATTGGATCCCCGCCTGCTGCTCACTCTTCTTGGCTTGCATTCTTGGGCTCTTGCCTGCTTCTGGCTGCCCGTGTAGGGGAGCCTGGGTGTGGTCCCTACACCATCCACCCCTCCTTTTCCTGTGGGAGTGTTTCCAAGGTCCTTCCACATTTTCCCGGCTCCACATTGCACAAATCCCACCTGCACAACCCAGGCCCACTGTGCCACCAGCGATGCCCAGGTCTCACCGCTTCTGTGTGTGAAGCGTTCTAAGACCGCCTTGGCTCCGTGGCAGGAGGTGTCTCCCTGCCGCACCAGCAAGTCCAGCAGTGCTGTGTAGCCACACAGCAGCACAGCGGGGCGCGGGTCCAGCCACACACTGAACACTGGGCTCCAGTGGTTGGAGAGCTGTGGGGAGCCAAGACTCAGCGGTTCCTGATCCAGGCTACTAGTCCTTGCTCCCCACAACTTTCAAGTCCAGATCCTAGCCCCCTTGTTCCTCTCCCTTCCCACCTTAAGCTGGGAGAAGAGGCCTTCTGCTTGCCTTCACCTGAATGAACCACCCCAGGCTGCCTGTCTTAACAATCCAGGTGCTCAGGCCTGCCAGCCATTCTCCTTTCCTGGAATTTGGGAGTAATGATTCAAAGCCGGTAATTTATCTTAGCAGCAAATCAGCTGTTGTAACTCCACACCCACCTCTAGCATCCCAGCACCCCAAGATTCTGTCCCTTCACTGCCACCCCTACCCCAGCCCAGCTACCTCCATGAGTGTACAGTCCAGGTGACCAGAGTCCAGTTGCAGCAAGTTCCCCAGCAGTGGGAGTGGCCTGGGCCCGGGAAGGCAGGCTTCCTGGTGCTGGAGTGTGGTGGGCACCACAGCCCCACCACAGCAACAGCAGCAGCATTGTGAGGCCAGTGGTCGTGCCTGCCTCCCTTCACCTGGGTCTGATCTGCACAGGGTTTTTTTTTTTTTTTTTTTAAGATTTATTTTTATTATTTTTCATTGAAAAGGCGGATATACAGAGAGGAGAGACAGAGAGGAAGATCTTCCGTCCGATGATTCACTCCCCAAGTGAGCGCAACGGGCCGATACTATGCTGATCCGAAGCCAGGAGCCTCTTCCGGGTCTCCCACGCGGGCGCAGGTTCCCAAAGCTTTGGGCCGTCCTCGACTGCTTTCCCAGGCCACAGGCAGGGAGCTGGAAGGGAAGCGGGGCTGCCGGGATTAGAACCGGCGCCCATATGGGATCCCGGGCGTGCAAGGCGAGGACCTTTTTAACCACTTGCGCCACTGCGCCGGGCCCACATCTCCCTTTTTTTAACATTTATTTTAAAAATATTCTTTATTTTTATTACAACATCAGATAGCTATACAGAGCAAAGGAGAGACAGAAATATCTTCTGTTCAATGATTCACTCCTCAAGTGACCGCAATGGCCAGTGCTGCACCAACCCAAAGCCAGGAGCCAGGAGCTTCCTCCAAGCCTCCCATGTGGGTGCAGCTTCCCAAGGCTCTGGGCCATCCTCGACTGCTTTCCCAGGCCACAAGCAGGGAGCTGGATGGGAAGTGGAGCCGCCAGTGTTAGAACCCAAATGGGATCCCGGCATGTTCAAGGTGAGAACTTTAGCTGCTAGGCCACGGTGCTGGGCCCACATTTATTTTTATTGGAAAGTCAGATATATAGAGGAGAGACAGAGGAAGATCTTGTCTGCTGATTCTCTCGCTAAGTGGCCACGACTGCAGGAGCTGAGCCAATCTGAAGCCAGGAGACGGGAGCCTTTTCCAGGTCTCCCGTGAGGTGCAGGGTCCCAAGCTTTGGGCCATCCTCGACTGCTTTCGCAGGCCACAGCAGGAAGCTGGATGGGAAGCAGGGCCACCAGGGTTAGAACCAGTGTCCATATGGGATCCTGGTGTGTGCAAGGCGAGGACTTTAGCTGCTAGGTTACCGTGCCAGGCCCTCCATCTGTTTCTAACACTGTCTTGTTTGCTCTCAAGCCCTCTGCCTCCTCTGTAGTGGTGCAGTGATGGGGTTGGGGTGAAAGTGGCTGAAGCTGGGTGCTGGAAACTCAAGCTTGGTCACCCACTTAGGCAGTAGAAGGCCAGTGCTTGTGGTCGGCCAGCTCCGTGGTCAGGAGTCAGCCAGGGACCAAGCTGTGGGTACAGCGATGAGGAAGGGACAAGTGTTCTAACTTGCTGCTTCACCACCCTGCCCCGTCTTAATGTCTGTCTCTTGCACACTTCTTGTCCTCTCCGTTTCATCTCTCCTCAGTGCCACTTCACTCCCCCACTTTTGGACTCTGTCTTTGGGTGCCCTCTTGGTGTCTCCCCTTCTTTCCAGTGTCTCTTCATGTTTCCCTTAGTTCTATCTCCCTCTCTCTTCACTCCTGCTTGCACAGCCGGGCTCTGGGACAGCATGAACCTGACACCCAACTGGAGACCACCTGGAGTCCAAGTGCTGGATAGTCCTGGGAGACCCTACTCCGGGTGGGACGTCCCCCACCCCACCCTGCCTGGACCACCTTGGCCCCTGGCTGGGGATGCACAGGGGGACACTCTACGTGACTGGTTCGAGGGGTGTGGGCCACCTTCCCGATGGTAGGTTGCAACTCCAGGCTTGGGGGCTCCATGCCAGGGCCTGCTGTTCTCACCCTGAAGGCGGAGTTGTGGACAGCGGGATAGTGCAGCGAGGGTCGGGAGTGGCAAGGGCGTCACCATTCCCGTTCTCTCCCCACCTCCTCCCTCTGCTCTCCTTCCCTCTCTTTAGCTAGTGATTTCTATCCCATTTCCTGTTTTCTCCATCTCCTCAATCCTCAGGCCCAGTGCCTTTGCTTCTGCCTTTGGCAGTGTCTTCTTCGAACCCCTTTGGTCTCTGATGTGAGAGAGGTGGTGGCTGCCAGCTCAGGGTCTGCTGCTGGGCATCCCAGCTCTGTCCCTTCCTGTGTGGGCTCTGGCAAGTCACCCCAACTCTCCGAGTCCCAGTCTGCACATCTGTAAAGTATGATAGTATAGGTTCAGCATCTCTTGGTTCCTAATCCAAAATGTTCCAGTATCTGGAATGTTTTTGTAAACAGCATGATGACACAAGTGGAAAACACCACACCACGGCTCACGTGATGACTTGTTGTCAAAAACGCAGGTGTATTACAGGAGTTGTGTAAGGTTGCCTGTGTGCTGTGTGTTACGTGTGCACAAAACCTGAAGGGATTCATCTTCAGACTCGGGTCTTAGTTCCCAGATTACCACATTCTGTGTATGCAGATAAAAAAAAAGTCCCAAATGCCTGTGGTCCGAGGCACTTTTGATTGAGAGTGGTGACAGGAAGCCTCCTCAGGGAGTGTGCCTTCTCCTGCATGGCCCCCTGGTGCTCACCCCGCTCTACTTGGTGTCTCATCTGGGTCTCCCACAGGGGTCCAGTCGCCCAAGCACTACTGCCACTTTCCGCTGCTTTCCCAGACACCTTAGCAGGGAGGAGCTGAATGCGAGGTGGAGCAGCTGGGATTTGAACCAGGCCCACACTGGATGCTGACCTCTCACCTCCCTTTCGTTCGGCCGAGACAGGCTTGAATCTATTATAAATTTATTAGAAAATGATACAAAAAGCCTCCCAGAAAGGGTCACATCGGGGAGCAAGTTATATGGGCACAAGAAGACCCAGATGGTGACAGACAGGTGATAGGTGCATCGTGTGGGCAAGGAGGTTGACAGCGAAGTGGCAGGGGCTGGACAGCGGGCGGGAGCAGAGGGACAGAGGCAGCCCTGGAGCGGCCATCAGCGCGCGCGCACGCACAGCTGGAAGGGTCGCGGCACGTTGCCCAGACCGGAGCTGATCGGGGTCAGGTCGATGTCCTCGGGATCCCCCAAAGGCTGCAGCGAGAAGTTCTGCAGAATGGCGGTGAGGAAGAGGAAGAGCTCCATGCGCGCCAGCGACTCTCCCAGGCACAGCCGGCGCCCTGCGGGTGTGGGGCGCAGCCCGAGGTAAGAGGAGGGAGAGGGGCTGCAACCTCCTGTTCCCAGAGGAAGACGGTCCCGCCTGCCTAAGCCCTGGAGAAGATGCTGACACTGTCCAGCGGGTGGAAGCGAGAGCCACCTCAAGGACGCCACCTAGCGAACAGGCCGCCGGTACCCAGGCCCCAGCTCCCTGCGGGTGGCCAGTCCTCTTGGGTCATCCAGGAGTGGGACTTGGGAGAGCGACAGCTGCTTCCTCACAACCCAAGGCTGGAGGCTTTGCAGAGTGAAAATGCTGTGGGGGATCTCACCTGCTGAGAAGGGCATGAAGGCGGGGCTTTTCTTGAAGGACTGGTTGGCATCCAGGAAGTGCTCGGGGTTAAAGTCCTTGGGTGTAAGGAATTGGCTGGGGTCGTAGTGGACCGTGTTGAGAAGGGTGATGACGTCAGTGCCCTGGGGGGAGGGTGGGGGGTGGTGAGCAGGCCGGTCAGTGCAGCAGGAGAACCCAGTGACGACTCGCCTCTGGAGTCTCCACTTCGCAGGGCTGATGGGTCTTGGGATTCGGGTCGTGTTTTGCGGGGTGCTATCCAGAATACACGCATGGGTGTCTGGGATTCTGTGGGAGAGGCTGCTGGAAGGTATGTCACAGGGTCCCCCACTCCCCCTGCTTTGTGGAGCAGATGTGGAGTTTCTGGGTGACAGTTCTCCAAGAAGTGTGTTTGGATATACAGGGTCCTCTGTCTAACACCTCCTGGGGGATCCGGGGACTTGGGAAGGGGCCTGGGATTCAGGACAGCATCCAGCCCATGCTGGACCGGGATGGGGTCCTGGGAAAAGGCAGAGGTTCCAGATTCCAAGGGCCTCACAGTGGCCTGTTGCCAAGGCTCGGATGCTCTTGCTAAGGCCGGGGTCTGGGATGGCGCTGGAGCACCTTGGGTAACAGGAAGCCTCGGAAGTCAGTGTCGCGGATGACACGGTGGGGCAGGTTCATGGGGATGACGTCCGCGAAGCGCTGCACCTCGTGGATCACCGCGTCCGTGTAAGGCATGGCGGGGCGGTCCTCCAACGTGGGCAGCCGCGAGTGCCCCACCACGCGGTCAATCTCCTCCTGGATGCGGGCTGCAGGTGGGGCGTGGGAGTGGGGAAGTGCAATGAGGGGTCTCCTCAAAGCCTCACCTCAGAGTTAGGGGGAGAGGTTGGCAGGTGCAGAGGCTCCCAGGGGGGCGTGGGAGTGGCATTGTGGGGGCTGCTCCAAGTCCAGGACACACTGCCCACGGTGGGATGCCAGGAGGCACACCTTGCACCTTGGGGTACTTCATGAGCACCAGGAAGGTGTGGCGCAGTGTGGTGCTCACGGTCTCAGTGCCCCCGAAGAGCAGGTTGTGCGTGGTCATCAGCAGGGTGTCCATATGGAAGTGGCTCAGTGGGTCCTGCTGCTCCTGCAGGCCGTGGAGGGGCGGGCGTGAGAGCCCACCGGGGACACGGCAGGGCCGGCCCCCAGGGAGCACCTTGGGCTCTCAGGTGGGCTGTGAAGGGCAGTGGTCCCAGGTGGCTGGAGAAGGTTCCCCTGCCCCTGCCCTACTTGGGGTCCCTCGGTCCCTCGTGGCTGTGAGGGTGGGGGAAGGGGAGGCAGGCGTCAGCATGGCTTCAGGCCCTCCTTCACCTGGGCCATCTTGGTGAGGAAGCAATCGATGAAGTCCCGCGGAGAGTCGGGGTCCAGAGTGGCCTGATGGTCGCGGACACTGCGCGCGATCAGGCTCTTCATGGACCCGTAGTTCTGGAAGAGGCGACGGTGCGGCCCGGGCACCCAGTCCAGCAGGCTCGGGAAGATGTTGTACAACTGGGGACGGGGCAGAGGGGGAGGCGCTGGGGCCAGTGGGCAGGGGCAGGAGGCTGGGGACGGGCCGGGCTCGGCGAGGGGGCAGGCTGGGCGTGGCCTGCAGCTCGGGGCGGGGTCTGGGTGGGCGTGACCTGCAGCTCGGGGGCGGGCACCAGGGCGTGGGCGGGGCCATGCAGTTCGGGGACGGGGGTCTGAGTGTGAACCTGCAACTCGGGGGCGGGGCTATGTAGTTGGGGGCGGGACTATAGGGTTTGGAGGCGGGGCTGGGGCGTGGTCGTTTAACTGGCGGGGATCGAGGGGCTTGGATGTGGCTGCACAGCCAGGGGGTTCGGGGCGGGGCCCTGCAGCTGCGGAACAGGGTCAGGGGTCTGTGGGTGGGGCTGCCCACCCCCAACCCCAGCGCTGCCCCCAGCCTCCTGACCTCGCCCCAGGGGCTGCTCATGATCTGGAAGTTGTCGTTGATGAGGCGGATGATGGTGAGCAGGCGCTCGTCGTCGTAATCGAAGCGGCTGCCGAAGATGACGGAGCAGATGATGTTGGACACGGTGCGGCTCAGCACGAACGTGGGGTCGAAGGGCTTGCCTGAGGGTGAGGGGCACGGTGGGTTGATGGGGTGCATGCTGGCAGCCACCAGCACATGACCCGTGTGCCTTGGCTGTGCAGGCAGTACACTCATGTGGCCAGCACGTGGATGTGTTGGGCAAGGCAACAGATGGCAGGGTGTACCCAGTCCCCCGCAGAGCGCAGCTGATCCTGGCAGTGCCTTGCAGGTCTGCAGAACCTCAGGAGACCCAGCGCCAGCGCCTGGCCAGGACACGTTGACGCATCATGGGAGCCGGCCAGGCCCCTTCTTGCTGCACAGCCAGTAGCAACTCAGCCAGCACAGATACGAAGCTGCCAGCAGCACCTGATGACCCTACAATCTCACCCATGGTCACCGTAACACAGGAGGTTCCCCCAGCCCCAGACCACAACATCCAAACAGCAACACAGCAGCCCCGAAGCCACGTCTTGCCACATCTCCCAGGTCTCGGTTAGACGGATACAGTCTCAATCCAAGGTCTGCCACTTTAGCCCTGTTGGCCTGCCGCCATCCCTGCTGGCAACCTCCATTTTCTCATCTGTAAACTGGACTTGATAATGGTCATCTCCTATGGGGCTGATATCCTTGAGAGTGTGGTGGAGGCAGTGTTAAACCCTCAGCTAACTGTGACGCCTGTTCTCACCGGGGTGCCATGGCAGGGGGCATCGTGCCCTCAGGCAGATCATGGCCTGTGAACAGAATCTGACAGGGCCAAGGAGGCCTTGTGGATGTGAGCAAGCCAAGAGCTCCAGGACAGGAAGACGACTCAGGTCAGTGTAGGAGTGCCCAGGCTGTGTGAGAGGCCAGCCCCAGGGGTGAGTACCAGCAGGCATTGTGCCCATGGGAGAAGGAAGAAAGAAGAGAGTGAGTGGGAGTGGAAGGCAGTTGGGAAGCCGACGCTTCTGGCCCCGAAGACGCGGGAGGGAATTGAGGCAAGTGCAGCCGACAGCGTCTGGCTGAGAGGAGCGAGGAAGCAGTGTCCTGTCCCCCCATCCCCTATGGCTCTCATTTTGCCTTCTATAAAAAGAGATTTGTGTCAGCTCTGATACAGTGGCTCAACTGGCTAATCCTCCTCTTGTGTCAGGACCCCATATGGGTGCCACTTTTGTGTCCCAGCTGCTTTACTTCCCGTCCAGCTCCCTGCTTGTGGCCGGGGAAAGCAGTCAAGGAAGGCTCAAAGCCTTGGGACCCTGCACCCCTGTGTGGGAGACCTCCTGGCTTTGGATCAGCTCAGCTCCCGCCACTGTGGCCATTTGGGGAGTGAGCTAGCAGATAGAAGATCTTTCTGTCTCTCCTTCTCTCTGTAAATCTGGCTTTCCAACAAAAATAAATAAATCTTTAAAGAGAGAGAGAGAGAGAGAGACTTGTGTCACTTTAACAGACATGTGGCAGTGTGTGAGAGATTCTATCGTCGTTGGCCCTGAGAAGCCAGCTGGGGAGGGAGATAGCTCACATCAGCCTTGGCACCTGGCACGCTGTGTTTGTGTCTGCCCCCCAGCCAGCCAGACCCCCCAGCCGACAGGGCAGAGGGCTGCTGAGCCTGGTGTGGCTCGGGTTCTGCAGGGCTTGACCTGTCCCTCCCCTGTCCCCTCGCCCCCGCCCGAGGAGGTGCAGCTGTTTGGAGGAGCTCACACACACCCCTTCCTGGACAGGTGTGGACACGTGCAGGGTGTGCTGCCAGCATCGGGCGCTGTAACTAATTGTGTTTTGTTTTGTTTTAAGTTCAGCAGCTCTGGCTTGGATTCCTCTGCCACTCCCAGGGCCACGGGGCACGAGCTTGCTCCCCACTCCCCAGCGTGGCTGGTGTGTACGGAATGCCTTACCCAGAGCCCAGTGTCCTATGAGCACTCAGTAAACTGCCCAGTGCCTCAGAGAGTGGCTGTGGTTTCAGTCCTGGGTCTTCCACTTCCTAGCTTGGCGTAACCTCTCTCCTGTCTCATGGAGATGTTTCTCATCTCCAAATGGAGTGTTGTGAGGCTAAAGGGGCTTACGTATGGACCCCAAGAGTGTCGTTGTGGTCATTGTCATGTCTGGACTGGCTGGGCCTCCGGAGAAGGGGGTGTCATCCTGCCCGTGAGCCATGGAAGCGTCTCCGGGGTTCGTGACCCCGGAGCCGAGGGGTGTGGGTTAGGGTGGCAGCCTGACCTTCGGTTTTCTGCAGCTCTGCCAGCAAGAAGCGGCCTTCCTCCAAAATCCGCTCTTCGATGCTCCTCTTCCCCATCCCGAAGTTCCGGAGAATCTGCATGGAAAACCTGCGGAGGGCCTTCCAGCGGTCCCCATTGGAGAAGGCAATGCCTGGAGAGAGGAGGGGCTGGCTGGACTGGCAGTTCATCTCCAGCTTGGGACCCTCCAGCTCCCGCCTCATCCCACCCCTCTGTGTGCACTGAGTTCAGAATATCCTCTGCCCCTTAGGCCCAGCCCACTACCCCTTCCAGCAGGACCTGGCCCTTCTGGGTCATCCCACCCACGTGAGCCGGAGCCAGGGAGTCTGTCTCGCCCACTGCTGTGCTTAGCATCAGGCAGGGTTGGTCACCCAGGAGGTGCCTCCATGGCTTATGGACCATCGAGTGTGCATCTAAGACAATCAAGAGGAACCCAGAGACATCGGGAACTTGGCCAGCAGTTGGACCCTGCTCTGTTTGCTGCTGGGACCCTATTTTTTTTTTTTTTTGCACAGTTCTGGGGAATCCCCCAGGCTTTCTTTTGGGAACTTCCTTTACCTCTTATCTTCTTCGTCTTATAGATCTCAGCTTAGAGCTGAAGTGGGGTCCTGGGACCAGGCTGAGGTGGACCATGACAGCTGAGGCTAGCTAACTCAGTCACTCCATCAAGTTGGGAATTGGATCGAGGGATGGGCATGTGGAGAGGCGGTACATGAGAACGGGGTTGGAGCTGGATTGAGGTGGGGGTTGGGATGGAGGGAGCAGGTGTTGGGTGTGGTGGGTAAGGCGCTGCTTGGGATGCCTGCAGCTGATATCAGAGTGCCCGGGTTCATGTCCCAGCTGCACCTTCGGTTTGCTTGCCTGCTTTCTCACATCTTACGGGAAGGCGGCTGATCACTCAAGCACAGGGTGTCCCTGCCACCCCTGTTGGGGCATGGATTGCATTTTGGCTGTTGGCTTTGGCATAGCCCAGCCCTAGCTGTTGCAAACATTTGTGGATTGAGCAATATGCTGGAAGATTTCTGTGTCTCTATATCAAATGATAAGAAAGAAATGGACAAAAGATGGTGGTGGGGTTTGGAGTTTAGAAGATGGGACAGTCTCCACGCTAGACTAGGGTTGCTTGGCTATGTCACTGAGATTAGAGACCCTGAGTGTCACCCAGAAGCAGGGTTGGAAGGGGGAACAGTCTTTCACCCTTATGGCCTACTTTAGTGCTAGGGGGTTGGGGATCAGGCTTACCGTTGCCCTTGGTGAAGTTGAAAAAGACAGGGTAGCTACCGCGGCCACTGAACTCATCCCCTTGGTCCACCAGGGCCTCCTTCACAGCTTGGTACCCGCTGAGGACCACCACCCGCCTGGGCCCCAGGTACACAGTATAGACGGAGCCGTATTCCTTGCTCAGCTGGGGATGAGAAGGTAGAGGTCACATGGAGACCCAGAGGGTGGGGTTCGTGTCCCTTCTCGCTGCCCTGTCACTCCCGCAACCAGGCCCCCGCACCTTGGTGAGGGAGCTGAGCATGTCCTGGGAGCGGAGCTGCAGCAGGTTCCCCAGCAGTGGCAGGGGCTTGGGGCCTGGAGGCAACCGGCCCTTGCCCCTGGAGCCCATGGTCAGGAACAGGTAGATGAAAGCCAGGAACAGAAGCAGGATGGCCATGCTAGTGCTGTCCATGATGAGGCTGCGGTGGGCAGAATGGGCGATCCCTCTGCAGTTCAGGCGCCAGAGATGGGTACCACTGGAGGAAGATGGCTGGGGGTGGGGGAGAACCAGAGTTGAAGGAGAGAGGAAAGGAGGGATCAGAGATGGAATCAGAGAGGGAATTCAAATGGGCAACAAGACAGAGCCAGAGTCAGAGAAAAAGAGAGCAAGCTCCTCCAGAGCTCAAGAGGAATCCAGAGACTGACTCATTTCAAGTGACAAAGAGACCAACGCACTCCGGAACAGAACCAGACTCAGAGACCCAGAGGGAGCCAGATGGAGAGGAGGCTACCAAGAGAGGCTGAGCTTGAGGAAGAAAGAGAAGAGGCCGAGACAGAGACCCCAAGACAAGGCTTACTAGCTGAGAGATGGACATGACAATGACACAGAGAGGGTGAGAGGGGCGCAGGAGGAGGCCCCCTGAAGGTCATGCAATTCCGTCCACGTTGGTGGGGAAATGGGACACTTCCCTATCAGTTTTCACACTATGCATTTTCATGAACTTTTTGAAGCTTTTATACTCAAAGAGCAGTTTTTCAATTCCATGTGCACAAGCCTTCAAAAGCATCCTCATATAAATGGAGATGGGGGGGGGGGGAAAGAAGGAGGGAGACACAGAGAGGATAGAGAGAGGGATGGTGGAAGCCAGAGATGGAAGGAGACAGCCTGTTCAGGGCTTGGGACCCCCTCCCAGGCAGCGTGCACCTGCTACGGAAGACATCTGCACAGGAACTAGAGCCCAGAGCTGCGCTCCGGGGATCCCTGCACCCAGGAGCAGTTAGAGGACCCATTGAACCCTGAGACAGCAGATGCCCCTGTGGGAGCCTCCCCAACCCCAATTCCCACCCTCTCCCCCACCCTTACCTGCCTGGCGCTGGGGGCAGCTCAGGGTGCCCTGCAGCTCTGGTGTGTTGGGGGGTGGCGCCCTTCACCCTTAAATCGCCTCTGTCCACACCCAACTTGATCCCGCCCCCTCCTTTCCTTCCAGCAAACTTTAACCCCCTTCATAGCCAGTCACGCATGGGGGTGCGGGCTGCCCCCTCTGAACTGTGCTCCCCAACCCAGGGCCAGGAGGTGGGGCTCAGCTCTCTATCCTCTTTGGTGGTGCTGGTCCTTGGGCTCCAGGCAGAGTGATGAACCAGGAGTGGGGGCTTCGGGCGCTGGGCTCTGCTTCTCTGGGTTCAAGTCCACGTCTGCCACCATCCCCCTCCTCTCTCTCCTTAGAAGTCCTCGGTGGCAGCCTCCTCTCTTCTGTCGTGTTGCCGCCTGGGTTGGCATCCGCTCTCTCACAGGTCCGCGTGAGTCACATGTAGCCAGTGGAAGTGAAGGACCTGGGAGAGAGCCAGGCCAGCTGCAGGTCCAGGGATCCAGGACCTTGGAGTTCAGTGCGCTCCCACCCCTGCACCCCCTGGTCCCACTTCAGAAACTGGGGAACCCAGATTTGGGCCAAGGGTACGAGAGGAATGGCTGAGGCCCCGGTCTGGGGGGCCAGGTGGCTGTGACACTAGCCCCCAGGTTCCAAGGGTGTGTGCTGTGTTTACTGTTCTCACTGCAGGGGAGGGGGCGGAGGAGGAAGTGCCTGAAGAGTTCTTGAGGTCTTGGGAACCTGACACCCCCATCCCCGGTGCTGCCCCCTCCTTTCCCCTTGCCCAGGCCAGGCAGAGCACTGGGGTAGAGGTGGGGCCCCGGCAGTTGTCCAGGTCCTGAAGAGGCCAGGTTAGGGCAGGCCCTGGGAGTGAGGCAGAGGCTTGCCAGGGGAGATTAGGCTCCTCCAGTTTCCCTGGGCATACTCCCTGCTCCTGAGGGGAAGGAGGGGAAGCGCTGGGTGCACCCCAGCCTCAGAAGCCACTTTTTCCCACAGTAGGACTGCGTTAGGGGTGGGTGAGGAGATTTGGTAACCTCCCCCATCATCTCCCCCGTCCCTCCCCCTGACCCTGGGCAGCCGCGGCTCCCTGTTGCCGACTCACTCTCCTCCTGCAGAGGGCGCTTGGGGTCAGAGTGGGCTGCTAGCGCTGCTTGTGCATGCCAAGGTGCTCCAAGCTGAGCCTGGGTTCCAGTCAGTCCTCTAGCTGGACCGACCAGGAACCCCGAATGTCCCCTTGCTCGAGGGAGGGGAAGAGGCTTGCTGGGGGAGAGGGGGTGTCAGCTCAATTGGCACAGCAGGGAAAATTGAGCAGCTTGCCTGTCATTGTCCACCCCAATTCCTGCTCCCACTTGTGGGTTGGGAATCGCTTTCTGATCTCCCACAGGCAGCCCCCCTCTGGAGCCTGTCACCCTGGGTACAAGGACAGATGCACTGCTCTGGGCTCCCAGTGGTCAACCCCTCCTGGTATGCCCAGTCCCGTGCTCGTCACCGGCTGGGGCACTCCTTCCCCTTTGCTAAGTCAGGTCTGGTGTGGGAGTGTGGTGGTGAGGTTTTATCCATGCACAAGATGAGATACCCAGATCTTAGGTCAACATTGCATTCTGAATGCGTGCAACCATGGGGTCCAAATCCTTCACCCCGTAAGGTGCCCAGGCAGCCATTGTTCTGGCTTCTTCCCACCCCTGTAGGTGGGCAAACCAACTGGAACCAAAACCACTGGGCTCTGTGCCAAGCTGCATGCTAATTTTGGGGAGGCACTTCTCCGAGTAGAAACCCAGCCACGTGTGATGCGGGGGCCTGGCGCTCATTCATGTATGTGCTGCATGTAAATGAGTGTTTCATTGTATCTGAGCGCTTTGCAATGTACTCATGGTGGCTTTGTGTCTGGTTTCTGATGCCTGACGCTCACACATTCTTCTTTTCTGGTGTATATGCCAGAGATCCCAGGAAGTTCACAGAGCAATGGAACTGAGACACCACTACATTTTCCATGTGTGTACTTTAAAAATGGGTATCTATTTATTTGGAAGGAAAAGCGAAACAGAGAAAAGGAGAGATTTCTTCTACCTTCTGATTTGTTTCCCAAGTGACCACAATGGTCAGGATGGGACCAGCAACTCCTTCTGGGTCTCCCGTGTGGGAGCAGCGGACCAAGCACTTGGACCACCTTCTACTGCTTTCGCAGATGTGGCAGGACAGGCAGCTGGATTGGCAATGGAGCAGCCAGGACTGCAACCAGATCTTGTATACCCAGCTTGCCAGCAAGGCAGGTGGTGGCTTAATGCACCGTGCCGTAGTGGCAGCCCTGATGATTGTGCCATCTGTGAATGTTATGAAGCCCCCTTTGTGGGGACAGGTGTCCCTCTTGGTTCGTGTGACCCTAACCGTGTACTTTCAGGGTCACACAATACAGAGATATTTATAAGAAACTCCCAAACTGTTTGTATACTTCTCTACTTCTGGGTGGCTTGTTTTTCCATCTCAACTGCTTTTCATCTTTGGAACAGTACCTGCTGTCATAATAAAAAGGTCATGCTGTGCTTGCGTGGTGTCTCAGATTGGTTAATCCTCCCCCTTTAAGAACCCAATACAGGCACTAGTACATGTCCCAGTTGCTCCATTTCTCATTCAACTAACTCCTTGCTAATGGCCTGAGAAAGCAGTGGAGGACAGCCCAAAGTCTTGGGATCCTGCATTTGCGTGGGAGACCAGGAAAAAAATCTCTGGGCTTCTGGCTTCAGATTGGCTCAGCACTGGGTGTTGTGGCCATTTGGGGACTGAACCAGCAAGATGGAAGATCTTTGTATTTCTCCTTTTCTATGCAAATTGGCTTTTCTAATAGAAAATAAAGAAATAAATCTTAAAAATCAAAACAGTGGAATAGTTGGGTGACAGGGCAGCATAAGTTTAGCTTCTGCAGATAGCACATGGGGTCCTGCAGCCACGCCCCGCCTCCCAGCTGCCCCTCTGTCCTGATGGAAAATCCCCGCCGGCCCGGGCAGCTCTGTTGACTCAGCTATTGTGGCACAGGCTCAAGCCCAGGCCGGTGCCTCACATGCTCACATGGCAGCCCTGGTAAGACTCGGGCAACGTTGACACCAGGAGAGACCTGCCACAGCACGAGCATCATTCCCGAAGCCTCATTCCAGTGATCTCTGACCCTGGCCGGCCCCGGGACACCTGCATAGGACCCCTCTTTTCCTCAGGATGATTTTCTTTTCTTTTCTTTTTTTTTTTGGCTTCTCTTTTTCTTCTTTCAAATTTATGCATTTATTTTATTGAGTTACACACACACAGAGATCTGCCATCCACTGGCTTACTCCCTAGATAACCACAATGGCTGAAGCTGGGCCAGGCCACACCAAGAGCCAGAAGCTTCGTCTGTGTCTCCCACATAGGTGACAGAAGCCCAAACACTTGTGCTATCCTCTGGTGCTTTTCCCAGGCCATTAGCAGGGAGTTGGATCAGAAATGGGGCAAGCAGGACTTGAATCAGCACCCTTATTGGATGCTGGTGTCACAGGTGCAACTGTGCTAGCGCTCTAGCTCTGAAAAATGAAATTAAAAGTTGAGTTTAGTGGGCAGCATCATGGTGTAGCAGGCAAAGTTGTCATTGGTGTTGTCAGCATACCATATGGGTGCTGGTTCATGTTCCAGCTGCTATACTTCCCATCCAGCTCCCTGTGCATACATCTGGGAGAGCAACACAAGATAGACCAAGTATTTAGGTCCCTACACTCACATGGGAGACCTGAAAGAAGCTCCTAGCATTGAACTGGCCCAATTCCAGCCATGGTGGCCCTTGGGAAGTGAAGCAGTGGATAGAAGATCTGTCTTACTCTTGCTGAAACTCTGCCTTTCAAATAAATAAATCTTATAAAAATATGTTACTTATTTATTTTTATTGGAGAGGCAGTTTTACAGAGAGAAGGAGAGACAAAGATCTTCCATCCGCTGATTCACCTGGTGAGTGAACGGGCAGAGCTGAGCTGATCAGAAGCCAGGAGTTTCTTCTGGGTTTCCCATATGAGTGTAGAATCCCAAAGCTTTGGGCCGTTCTCTGCTGCTTTCCCAGGCCACAGGCCGGGAGCTGAATGGGAAGTGGAGCAGCTGAGACACAAACCAGCACCTATATGGAATGCTGGTGCTTAAATGTGGAGGATCAGTCAGTTGAGCCATTGTGCTGGTCCCAAATAAATCTTAAAAGAACGAAGCAAGGGCTCAGCACGGTAGCCTG